CAAGACTATGACTGACAAAAAAAAATAGTGGTGTTTCTCTCACTTGTGACAAAACTACATCTTGGAAAGGGAAAGAGTATACTCATGCATACATGCACATGTGTGTGCATACACACACACACTGATGTTCCCTGCACTCATCTGAGGAGGGACCAGATCAGGTGGAGGAGGTCACTTAGGATCACTGGCGCTTCCCGCCCCCCAAACCTGTGTGTACCCTGGAGCATCGGGCCATGACCAGGTTCTGGCGTGACGTCTTCCGCTTCCTCGCCAGGACACCCTGGAGATGTGCACGAAGGAGATCGAGTTCAAGTGCATCCTCTTCGCCCTGTGCTACTTTCACGCCGTGGTGGCCGAGAGGCGCAAGTTTGGCGCCCAGGGCTGGAACCGGTCGTATCCCTTCAACAACGGGGACCTCACCATCTCCATCAATGTGCTCTACAATTACCTGGAGGCCAACCCCAAGGTGAGATGCATCCCAACCCGCCTGGCCATGCCGGGCCTCCACACGGGGTCCATAAACCAAAGGACATGTCAGCACCGCGGCACCCGCAACCTCCCCTAACAGCGGCTGCCAGCCCGGCCGGCCACCGCCATCTGATGGGGCTGCTGGAGAGCCTGCCTCTGGTCAACTCCGGGTCAACTCCACAGCCGCCCAGTGCGACCCAGAGCCCTGGAAGCCCCGGAGACGCTGGGCTTTGGGTGCCACAGGCCTTGTCAATATCCAGTTTGGGGGAAGGAGGCCCTCAAAAGTCTCCTTAAAAAGAAGGGTTGGGGGGGCCAGGAAGGTGGCTCAGTGGTGGAGCGCTCGCCTCACATACGAGGCCCTGGGTTCGATTCTTCAGCACCACATAAGCAGAAAAAGCTGGACGTGGCGCTGTGGTTCAAGTGGTAGAGCGCTAGCCTTGAGCTGAAGAGCTGAGGGACAGTGCCCAGGCCCAGAGTTCAGGCCCACAACTCACTCACACTCTTTCTCTCTCTCTCTCTCACACACACACACACACACATACACACACACACACACACACACACAGAGGCTGCTTGGTTTTTATTATCCTTTTCTGCCCAGCTTAGCTTTGAACCTGGATCCTCAGATTGCAGCCTCCTGAGTAGCTAGGATGACAGGCCTGAGCCACCAAGAGCGCCTGATTTTCCCTTTCTGCAAGTGGCTGCCAAGAAATGTAAAATGACCGGCGTGGCTCCCGTGGCACCTCCCTGGGGCTGCAGGATTGACCACTCTGGGTCGGATGAGGGTGGAGGAGGGTGCTCCAGAGCCAGGCTCTTCGCCACAGGTGCCCAAAGTGAGCACTCCAGGGCAAGCAAGGGCTGGAACACTGGGAAGGGTGAAGCGGGGGACATGGGTAGGAAGAGGCCAGTCGCAGCAGGGCTGGACGGCTCACCCAACTGCCCACCCCAGGCAACACTGACTGTGGTATCTGCTCCTGAGGCCCCAGGAAGCCAAGGTTTTGGGGGGACGAGCTGCTTGCTCCAAGCTCTCTGCTATCAGAGACCTCAAGGCCCCCGTGGGTGACAGCTGCGGGAATGGCCCAGGGTCGCTCAGTGGGCTCAGAGGAAGACCCTATGGGGGGAGATGCAGCAAGCCAGTGCCAGCCCTGAGCGCTGCAGATGCCAGGAGAGAGAGGGCAGGTGTGCATGGGGAACAGAGCAGCAGCCTGGCTCGAGGCGGTGAAGGAGAGCCAGCCGGAGGCGGGGAGAGCACGTCTCTCCGCTGTCATGGGAGCGGCCTGGGAGGCGGAGCCCCACCTGCAAGGCTGCCGGCGGCCATGCCCTCTTGGGGCAAGGGCACCTTCCAACCGCTGCCACCTCTCCCAGGTGCCCTGGGACGATCTCCGCTACCTTTTCGGTGAAATCATGTACGGCGGCCACATCACGGATGACTGGGACCGCCGGCTGTGCAGGACCTACCTGATGGAGTATCTGCGGCCTGAGATGCTGGAGGGCGACGTGATGCTGGCCCCCGGCTTCCAGACACCCCCAAACCTGGACTACAAGGTACGGGGGGGGGGGGCAACAGCCCTGGTCCCCAGGCCAACGCCACCCGCGGGCCTCCCGTCACAAATGGAAATGAGCAACTGGGCGAGAAAGGGGCAGGGAAGGAAGGAGAGGAAAGGCACGCGGTGGGCGCAGAGGGCAGCGTGAGGAGGCTCGGGGAGGGAGGCACGCCGGCAGGGGACACGGAGCCCGCAGATGTGCTCTGCTAGTCTGCTTACAGCCCCCTCTCGCAGGGTTACCACGAGTACGTCGACGAGAACCTGCCCCCCGAGAGCCCCTATCTCTATGGCCTGCACCCCAACGCAGAGATTGGCTTTCTGACAGTCACCTCGGAGAAGCTGTTCCGCACGGTGCTGGAAATGCAGCCCAAAGAGTCGGACTCGGGAGCTGGCACTGGAGTGTCCCGGGAGGAAAAGGCAGGTTCCCTCCACCCACAGGGGCAGGGGCAGGACAGGGCAGGGGCAGGACAGGGCAGGGGCAGGGGCAGGGCCGGGGGTGGGGGCAGGGGCAGGACGGGGGGGGGGGGTCCCCGCAGGGGTCAAAATGCAGCTCTGACTGGTGGCCCCTGGGGCACTTGTTCCCAGGGTCTGCAATCGGGTACAGCCTGGGCGGGAGCAGTCAGCGTCTGGATGCCGTGGGGGCAGCAGATGAGCTGAGGGGGGACTTCCCAGGGAAGGCCCAGCTGAGAGCACTGAGCAGTGAAAGGTGTGGTACGCAAGAGCACTGGAGGCCGAGGGACCCCGTGAGGCCGCAGATCTTCAGCTCAGCCTGTGAAAGTTCTGCCATCAGCTAAGACGTGGGCTTCACAGGGGACCAACCCTAGGATGGAGAGACCCTCATTGCTACTAGGCCTGGTACCAGGGTGGCCTGATGTAGCCCCAGCCCCAACATGGAGCCTGGCCAGGGGCCAGAACCCGGAGCCTGCTGGCACCTGTCACATTGGCCACACTTCGTGATCGCGTGTTCCTGGCACCTCTGCTCCCCTCTCCCCTCTCCTCGGGGGTCCGAGCTGAGATGCCTGGGCCAGCTCCCTGCCCGGCGCTGCCAGGAGGGTCCTCAGCCCAGCAGATAGTGACACAGCCCTGCGGGGACTGACTTCCAGGTGAAGGCCGTGCTAGACGACATTCTGGAGAGGATTCCAGAGACATTCAACATGGCGGAGATCATGGCCAAGGCTGCTGAGAAGACGCCCTATGTGGTTGTTGCCTTTCAAGAATGTGAGAGGATGAACATTCTCACCAACGAGATGCGGCGCTCGCTGAAGGAGCTGAACCTGGGGCTGAAGGTAAAAATAAATGCGGGCCATCAGGGACCCCAGGCACCATCCGGGACCCCAGGCACCATCCGGGACCCCAGGCACCATCCGGGACCGCAGGACCATCCGGGACCCCAGGCACCATCCGGGACCCCAGGCACCATCCGGGACCCCAGGACCATCCGGACCTCAGGGGCCATCCGGGAACCCAGGACCATCCGGGACCCCAGGCACCTTCCGGGACCCCAGGCACCATCCGGGACCCCAGGGACCATCCGGGACCCCAGGGACCATCCGGGACCCCAGGCACCTTCCGGGACCCCAGGGACCATCCGGGACCCCAGGGACCATCTGGGACCCCAGGGACAGGCCTGAGGAACTGGCTGGCCTGTGGGAACCTCCGGCCTCCCTCCCAGCCTCGGCCCCTGGGGACGAGCGTGTCATGGCCGGTCCCCTTTCTCCCCGGCCACTCAAGGCCCAAGGAGGTTATCTAGACTGTTCCCTGGCAGGAAACACTGGCTGGTCCCCACACGAGGCGTCCCCAGAGCCATGCGGTGCTGATGACTCAGGATGCTGGGGGAGGGGGGGGCGAGGGCGGGCACTCGCATGGGGCCTCCCATCCTCCCAGGGAAAATGTGACAATATCTGCTCTCCCAATCTGGGCTGCATTCTTTAGGGGGAACTGACCATCACGACAGACATGGAAGACCTGTCCACAGCTCTGTTCTACGACACGGTGCCCGACACGTGGGTGGCCCGGGCCTACCCCTCCATGATGGGCCTGGCAGCCTGGTACGCCGACCTGCTGCTCCGTATCAGGGTGAGCATGTCCTCCCAGGGCACCGAGGCTCGGGGGAGAGAGGTCGGCCCGGCCCGGCCCAGCCCCGCACGGAGCCGGCTTGCCACACTCAGCAAGCCCCGCCAGGCACAGCTGCCACCCATACACAGAGGTGCCAATGGCAGGACCTCTTTGGGACCCGCACATTACCCTCAAGGCACTCCCTTTCTGTCTCTTCCGGCCCAAGAGCAGGGACGTCGGGGGAGAAGCCAGGCTCCCCAAGAGCTAGGCGAAGCCCTCTGTGCCGAGGCCCTGGGCCAGTCCCCAGCCCGCTGCCCTCGGGGCCGCTTGTGTTCTCTCAGGAGCTCGAGGCCTGGACCACAGACTTCGCCTTGCCCACCACCGTGTGGCTGGCGGGCTTCTTCAACCCGCAGTCGTTCCTCACGGCCATCATGCAGTCCATGGCCAGGAAGAACGAGTGGCCGCTGGACAAGATGTGTTTGTCTGTGGAGGTGACCAAGAAAAGCAAAGAGGACATGACCGCGCCGCCGCGGGAAGGCTCCTACGTGTACGGCCTCTTCATGGAAGGTGAGGGCCGCGAGGGCCGCTCTGCCATGGACGCAGGGTGGGGGCAGCCCCGCGGGAGCGCTCACGGGCCACGGCTCCCTCGCGGCTCCCACCCGCGGGGGCTGCAGACTTGCCTCAACTCAACCCCAACAGAGGAGCCTGTGTAAGGACAGCAGGAGTCCACACAGATGGCAGAGAGCTCAGCCCGGGACGGGGCCACCTGTTCTCAGCCCGTCGAGGGAGGCCAGCTCCAAGAACAGGAAGGAAGAGGGGTGGGGGCATCCCCTGTGCTGCTGCCGAGGGCCGGGCCGTGCCCTCAGACCACAGCCGTCCGGCTCCGCCGCCATCATCCCCTGCCACCTCCCAAATCACCACAGATGAGCAACGGCCATTCTCCACTGTTTATTTGGAATTCCAGACAGGAAATATAAACACCACTCAATAGGGCAAGTAGAAATGATAGCAGTCTGGTCAGAGGCAAATAATATTTATATTAGGCATAGGTATTTATACTCTATGTACATAGAGGATAGACATTATACAGTTAGAGGCAGGAGACTTTATGGTTTTCAGCAGGAGTTCTGACTTCCTGGCACTGAAATCAGGAAGGCGCAGATGAGGCTCTAAAAACACCACGATTTAAAGAGAAGGAAGCCAAGGCCGCAGTGCATGGGGCTCAGGGCGCAGCGGGGTCATGGGCAGCTGCACGTGCACGCGGCCACCTGCCAAGCCTCTGCTCACACCTCCAGGCCCAGCAGTGTCCACCCCGGCCCAGGCCTGAGCTCCGGACACCACCATCTTCCGGCAAAGTGGGGGGGCCGGGCCTTGCCCTGCGGGCACCCCCTCCCTCCCTGTCAGCACACCACACTGACGGGCTCCCCCGGCCAGGGCCTCCCTGACCCTCAGCCCCGCTTCCCCTCAGGAGCTCGCTGGGACACCCAGACCGGAGTCATCGCTGAGTCGCGGCTGAAGGAGCTGACGCCAACCATGCCCGTCATCTTCATCAAGGCCATTCCTGTGGACCGCATGGAGACCAAGAACATTTACGAGTGCCCCGTGTACAAGACGCGCATCCGGGGCCCGACCTACGTCTGGACCTTCAACTTGAAGACTAAAGAGAAGGCGGCCAAGTGGGTGCTGGCGGCGGTGGCACTGCTGCTGCAGGTGTAGCGGCGGCTGGTTTCGGGGGCCAGGCCGCGCCTGACCGCAGCCCAGCCAACAAACTCAGCCATCAAAGCCCAGCTTTGCAACTCTTATTTATTTTACAGGAACTGAGAACTGTATCGTCTCTTATATAAATAATCAAAGTTCTTTGTAACCAAGAACACAAGGTGGGGGGCTGATGTGGATAAAAGAACCAAGGTCACTTATCCATGTCTACCTGATTCTGTTCAGTGCCCACAGATGCCCAGGGTTTGACATGACAGGGGGCGGGGGGAGGCACCTAGGACCCGGGCAGGGCAGCTCTATCTTTAACACAAGCAGCCTTTGGGGGTTAGTTAGCATGGCTTCACACTGCACTGGCCACCGGGAGCCTGCGTACTCTGCGCTAAGCAGGAAGTGTGCTGGGCATCCAGGCCCCAGCATTCCTCTCCTGAGGACCAGAGGGCCTCCGCTGAGCCAGAACTCCGGTTGCACACAGGTGCCGTGTGCACAGGCTGACCACCTGCTGAAGCCAGCGCACGGGACTGGGGGAGGGGCTGCGTGGGAAGCCCCTCAACCTCTGGCTCTCCTGCCTAAGCCTCTGGGTTGGCAGGCAGGCAGGCGGTAGGTGCCCTGGGAGCCGTCCCACTGCTCGGGAGCCGTTTTCTCCCAGTTCTGTGGCCTGGCACAGCCCCGGCATGAGCAAGTCCAGCTCCCGTTTCTCTGACTTTCAAGCATCTACACACCACCATGAAGCACTCTCCAGGCTGGGGCTGGTGGCTCGTGCCTATAATCCTAACTACTTCAAAGGCCACGAGCCACAGGTATGAAGCCAGCCCAGGCAGCAAAAACGCTCCATCTCCACGATAACTAGCCAAAAGCAAGGCTAGAGCTTGGCTCAAGTGACAGAGCACTAGCCATGAACAAGCAAGTCAAACAAGTGTGGGAGGCCCTGAGTTCAAGCCTTGGTACTGGCCCATACACTCTCACTATCTCTGTCTCTCTACAACTCATCATAAAGGTGCTCAGGAAAACACTGGTGCCCTGTAAAAAGGTCATCCACAGACAGAGATGACCTGGTGCTCCAGCTGCATGGCAGCCCACCAGACCCTGCCTGGCAGGAGCGTCTGCCTGCAGCGAGAGCCACTTCAGCTGGAGATGGAGCCCAGGCCCACTGCCACACAGCCAGGCACTGCAGGGGCAGCCCGGGCAGCACGCACTAAGCTGTAGGAATAGCATGATCCCAATGTTTGGAGAAAACTTTCTCCCAGGTATACACACCCAAAACCCAACACCACAGTGGAGCAGAGGTCCCAGAGGGTAATTAATGTCCAGGAACCACCCTGCCTGGATTCACAGGGCTGTCCAGAGGGAAAAGGTGCCCCTTGGCACAGAGCTTGCAAGGACACAGTCTCAGCCTCCCAGCCTGGCTGCTGGCAATGCCTCTGCCGGCCAGGAGGGGTCAGGGCAGCCCCTCGCGCCAGGCTCAGCCTCGCGTCCAGGCCACCACTGGCTGTGCAGCCACCAGGCAGCTCACTTCCAAAATGAGACCTGCTTCCACTTCCGCCTTTAGCCATTTACTCTGCCTGAATGTACTGTGGATGGTTGGCAAAGTGATCTCCAAGCTCCCCAAGGGAGCAGTGACACGGAAGGCAGGGGTGGGGGCAGCCACACCTACACAGGGGGACTTGGTCTAAGGACAGGTGGGGGGGCAACAGGACACAGCAAGGGGCACTGGGAGACAGGACAAAGGGGAACAGCATGCAGGCTGGCCTAAGCCAGGCACTGGATAAGGCCTCTCCAGGGCTGGGAAGGTGGCTCCGTGGTAGAGCGGTTGCCTTGCATGCATGAAGCCTTGGGTTCCACTCCTCAGTACCACATACTCAGAAAAAGCCAGAGATGGGGCTATGGCTCAAGTGGTAGAGTGCTAGCTTTGAGCACAGACAGGCTTAAGGACAGTGCCAAGGCCCTGAGTTCAAGCTCCAGGACCGGCAAAAAAAAAAAAAAAAAAGATGACGGTCTCTCCAAACCAAAGTCAGGACCTGAGGCGACCAGGCTGCTCACGCTGCCCCCTGGACAATTCAATGACCAGCCCAAAGGCAATCACTGCGGGGCTCTGCCATCACCTCCTCTGTTCACAACCACAAAAGCCTGTAGAGATGGGGCTCCCGCACGGAGCCCAGTACACACAGCCGCAGGACAAGGCTAGCCACAGCCGGCCCTTCGTCCCTACGGCCTGACCGTGGGGGACACACCAAAACAGACCCTTCCAGAGGCAAAAGCCAGACGACTCCAGCGCAGCTCCTCTAGAGGTCACACCATGGACCTAAGCCCCGGGCTCTCCTCCCTGCAGACACCTGCCTCAGCACCGCAGGGCGGAGACCGTGGCAAGGGCTCAAAACTGGTTCTGGAGAGACCAGAGCACAAGCAACCATCAATACGCAGGTCCTAAAGTCCAGGTAGCCAGGCTGGCTAAGCCATTTGACCTTGTATCAAACAGATCTACAAAACTGAAATTAAAAACTTAAATAAAACTGGGCGCCAGTGGCTCAGCCTGTCATCCTAACTATTCAGGAGGCTGAGATTTGAGGATCACAGTTCAAAGCCAGCCGGGGCGGGAACATCTGTGAGACTCTTATCTCCAATAAACCACCTGAAAACCAGAAGTGGCGCTGTGGCTCAAGTAGTAGAGCACTAGCCTTGAGCTGAAGAGCTGAGGGACAGCACCCAGGCCCAGAGTTCAGGCCCTACGACTGATCAAAAAAAAAAACCTTAAATGTGTCACAGACTCTGATGTAAAACAGGCTATGCTGGGGAGCCAGTGTCAGAAGGAAAGACCAACAGAGAGACTGAATATGCATGTTGTCAATAAAATAATGCAGTCTGTTGAAATGTGGTTTTAAGAAGAGGTGAGGAAGGGGAAGAGGGTGAGAGTCTGACCCGGGTACACCAGAGGCATGGAAATGTCTCAATGGAACGCACTTTGTGCAGCTAACACATGCTAATACAGACAGGCAGGCAAACAGCAACAATTACAATCATCATCTGTCCTGCCTGACAATCCTAAGGAGTTCATGCTACCTTTTTATCAGGCCTGGCATTGGCATTGTTTTGTTCTTGAAAGTCTGTTTGAGGAGGAAAACAGTCACACACACCATTTGGAAACACAAACGTGAGAGGATGCTAGCCTCAGTGGTACTCCACTCTACATTTGTGAAGTATGGTTAAAAGCAACGGAGGTAACCAGAGGGCACTCTGAGGAGAGGAACACAACGGCACAATTATGCCCATGTGCATCTGATCATACAAAAATAAGTTATCGAAATGAACTCCAGAAAACGGGAATGAGGTGTTTTCTTTTTTGCTCTTCCTGTTTTCTTTCCTTTTAGTTCTGTTTGTTTATATGTCTCTGGGAATACAAGGAAAGCACAGAAACGGAAGGACAAAGGGTGAGCAAGTGTGACAACAGGACTGTGCTGAAAATCATCTATACAACTTGTGGGTAGGGAAGGGAGGGAAAAACTGGGAAGGTGAAGGGGTAACACTGTCCAAAAAGAAGGGTACTCTTAGGTACCAGTGGCTTACGCTTGTAATCCTAGCTACTCAGGAAGCTGAGCTCTGAGGATTTCAGTTCAAAACCAACTCAGACAAGAAGGTCTGTGAGACTCTTCTCTCCAATTAACCACCAGAAAACCAGAAGTGGCACTGTGGCTCAAACTGATAGAGTGCTATCCTTGAGCAAAAGAGCTCAGGGATAGTGCCCAGGCCCTGAGTTCAAGCCCCATGACCAACCCCCACCCCCCAAAAAAAGAAATGTACTCTTTTTTTTTTTTTTGGGGGGGTCCGGTCGTGGGGCCTGAACTCTGGGCCTGAGCTCTGTCCCTCAGCTCTTCAGCTCAAGGCTAGCACTCCACCACTTGAGCCACAGCCCCACTTCCGGCTTTTCTTTTCTGCTTATGTGGTGCTGAGGAATCGAACCCAGGGCCTCAGGCATGCAAGGCAAGCGCTCTACCACTGAGCCACCTTCCCAGCCCCAAGAAATGTACTCTTTACCTGACTCATGTAACTGCTCTAACACATCACCTTTACAGTAAGAAGACTTCCTTTTTAAAGTAATGGACATAGTAAGAAAACTACATGATGAATACCTTTCTGTAAAGCGAGGTTGGGAGGAGAGGCCGGTGGCAGGAGTCACAGGCGTGTGACGGTGCTGACAGGAAGCACGGCACCAGCCTCAGCCCCGAGACTCTCCCGCCTCTGCCCCACGCCAGGGCAGCCAGCAGAGGACGTGGGCACCGTGGTGAGAGCGGGAGTGCGTCCCGCTGCGCAGTGGGCCCGGCCCTCTGTGGACCGGCTGCCCAGGCCTGGCGGGGGGAGGGGAGTCCTGCTAGCAGCGGCCCCTGTACCTAGAACGTCACACCTACGTCTGGGACATCGCATCTCCTAACTACACAGCACAAAAACAGACACCAGGGAGAGATCCAACTCAGAAGCACCTTATCCTGAGCGGCGGCCGGCGCGGGCGTCAGGCCCAAGCGTGCTCCATGCTAGACCACCTGCCGCTCCCGCTGCGTGGAATGGAGGCAGGAACCATGACACCCGCCTCGCTCCCCTCGGTCACAGGACCCAGCCTCCCTGGCCCCAGGAAGAGGCTGGGGGAGTGGAAGAAGGCCCACCTAAGACCTGAGTGGCGGCGTCTGCACCTGAAGAGAGGGAATCTGCTGGCTAACTTAACACCAGGCTGCAAAAGCTTTGATGGTAGCCATCCCTGACTACAGGGACCGAACCAAGGGAGGGGAGAGAACCCTCAGGGCTCCCTTGAGTCAGTGCGGGACTGGGGTCGGCAGCCCCCGCCCTACAGATCTGTGCTGAGAGGTGACAAGGAGATGGCACCTGTCTGATCTCAGAAGAAGTTCTTGATCAGTGGCGTCACCATCTTCACCCACAGCTTCACCTGCCGCCCCGGCTGCTCAAAGGTAGCGGAGGACACCACAGCTGACCGCAGGTAGAGCTGCTCTTGCTCCTGAGGAAGAAGAACAGAGAGCAACGGTTGCAAGTCCCTCCGGCGGCGGCCCACACAGCAGGATGGCCTGCTCCCGAGGAGGTGCCCAGGCGGCAGCGGATTGAGGACACCCAGGCTCCTGAGCGGGTCTCCAAGACAGAGCTGGCGTTGGACAAGCATGCTACTTTGTGTCCACCCTGACTTAAGGAAGTGGTGTACATCAAATGTAACCAGGCTAATATGCATGTATAAGTCAGGCACTGCGGGGCTGTTGCTCAGGGACGGAGTATGCGTGGCCTGCCGGCGTGGCGGGGAGGGTGGGGGGCTGGGTTCTACCTCATATCCTGAGAAGTCAACTCTGCCCAAGACCTGCGAATTAAGATGTGCATGTGGGTGCGTGCGTGTGCATACACACTTCAGTCCTGAGGCTCAAACCCAGGACCTGGGCGCTGTCCGTGAACTGCTTCACTCAGGGCTAGCGCTCTACCACTTGAGCACAGCTCCACTTCTGGCTTTTTGGTACTTAGTTGGAGATAAGAGTCTCACAAACTTGCCTGCTGGAGCTAGCTTCAAATCACAATCCTCAGATCTCAGCCTCCTCAGTAGCTAGGATTACAGGCATGAGCCCCTGGCGCCCCAAGACTAAGATGTTTTACAGATATTTGCCACAGCAACATTTGTAAGGAAAGGCTGGAAAACACCTAAATATCCACCAGTTGGCTTATTAATAAACCCACATGACAAAGCCTCATTGGCTGTGGGACATTGTTTAGAACATGCATTCACTGGTGTGGGAAAGGGCACAGAATGTCAGCTGGGGACGCAGACATGAATGTCCACCACACAGGTTGGTCCCTGCGCATCCCAGGGGGACCACTCAGTCCCAGGACCCTCCGCAGAGAGCGAAGCCGGGAGATGGGAGGGAAGAGCTGTATCCCTGGCAGCTCCTCCACCCCACTGAGGCCAGACACCTGCCCCAGGACTCTGTGCAAAGTGTCCAAGGCTTTGCCTGCCACAAAGGCTGGGCAGGGGTGCTCCAGGGCCTTCCTTTGCCTCTCCTGCAGCTTTCCCTGAGGCCAGGGTCTGTCTGCAGACCGAGCAGCCCATGTCATGCATGGGAGCCCAGTCCTCTGCGCCCCCCGCCCCCCCCCCCCCGGCATCTCGAGGGGCTGGGTGCAGAAGTCTCCACAGAGCTGGCTCCAGCCACATAGGCCAATCAACACCCAGCCAAGATGGCAACAAGGCTGCCAGAAACACTGCGTCCTCACTCACTCACAGCAGGGATGGAGGGCGTCAGCTCCAGAGTCATAATGCTGCTGGAGGGTCACAGTGGGAAACTTCTCCCAACAAAACCAGGAAGCTGTCAGTTTTTATTGTCTGCACTAAGGGGATGGCTTCAGGTTCTGATGTAAGTCCGGTCCCCTTCCTGGGCTCCTGCCTGGGCCTGGCAGTGGCCTCAGGAGCAGGGCTGCAGGCCTGGGCTTTTCTGCGGGGGGGAAGGGGCGCAGAAGCACCGGCAGCGCTGGGTGCTCAGGGCCAGGCACAAGGCTGAGGGCAGCTGCAGCCCGATCTGAACAGGCAGCATCAGTTAGAAGCGCGCATCTGCCCGTCACAGCCACGGCCTCTAACACGTGGACAAGCCATGGCAGCCTGAGCCGCTGCCCTCCCACAATCAAAAGCCCCTGGGGTATAGGTTTGGGAAGAAAGCATCCCAAGTATGTCATTTGAGAAATCTGCTCCAACCACAACCGGCCCAGGCTTTCCCAAGATCCAGGATGTGGGTTCAGTGAACGGAGGAGGGTCAGTACCAGGACCCAGGGCACAGGCCTGGGGCCCTGGCTCCCCTACACGAACTCAGGTCCGCCAGAACTCATCCCACACCAGACCAGATCCACCAACAGCTCTCCTGCATGAGTGGAGGAATCCAGAAGGTCCGTGCCTTTCCCAGGCCGGCTCAGGGGCAGCTGTCTCCATGTTACTGGAAGCTCTGCCCTGGGGGGAAGGGGGGGGGGCCTTCCCCAGGCATTTGCTGTAAGCCTCCCTACAGGAAGAAGCCTGCCGAACAGATGCCACTGCCACTAGGGCATGGCAGCCATCACTTCCTCTTGCCCCTCATGAGCCCTTCCTGGCCCCAGGGCCCTCTCCGTCGGTGACACGATTCCCAGGCTCCAGCCACAGGGCCAGGGCGCGAGGCTGTGACCACTTCCCCATCCATCAGCAAAAGCTCCGAGAGCTCTGCTACAGAGAGGCCCACGCTGAGCCAGGCAGCGGCCGGCACACTGAGGTCTGGCCTAGATCCTCAGGCTGCTGCTGCGGTTTGGGAACGGACACTGACAGGTCACTTCACAGGAAGTGCTACTGGACAGGGCACCAAATCCAAGGCAAGGCACCGTCCAGGTCTCAACCGCCCAAGACAAGCTTCTTCCATTAACCCATTGCTGAGATGCATGGAAACCTAAGAATGGATTCTGAGGACCTTTCTGTCACTTACTACATCTCAGAAGGGCCAACACTACTGCCAGTCCTTGTAACAGGTTACCCTGGTTCTTAGACGTCAGACCCCAGTAAGGGCACAGCGGGCTCTCCCGGAGCGGGTACAGGGCTCGGCCCACACTGGCAGCCATAAGCCACGGGGGTGGCCTTCCAAGGGAAGATCTGAGACCCGTTTCTCTCGAAGGCTGTCATGCTGGACTTGGGGGCAACCGAGGTCCTCTCCCATCTGCTGCGTTTAGCTCACTGAGGACGGCGGCAGGAGCCACCGATCAGAGCAGTCCGGTGACTCCCAGTCCAGTGACTCGGGCAAGACTCAGCTGCCCCCAGGCCAGCAGGAACCCATGCCCCAGGCGGCAACCCCCACCCCCAGGACTCCAAGCCCTCAACCAACCTGGTGGAGCTGCTGCTGCAGGGCGCGGCTCTCCGTCACAATAGCAATCTGGGCCTCTAGGTCCCGGTGAACTGACCTGTACCCAAAATTAGGAGAGCCAATCAGCGTGAGGCAGGGCAGGCTGCTCCCTGCCAGGTACAGCCAGAGGCCTGCAGGGAAAAGGAAATGTGCAGACAGGAAGTGAGCACGGCATCCACGGATGTCCTCGGCACACACCGGCCAACCTAGGAGGAAAGCAGTGGGCTGAACTCACCACACCTGAGGCGGCCACACACGCAGCACGCAAGCCAGGGCCTGGCCTGCCCCCTGCCTGACAGACACACGCATGCATGAACACACACAGAGCAGCCATGCACGCAGCACGCAAGCCAGGGCCTGGCCTGCTCCCCCTGCCTGACAGACACACGCATGCATGAACACACAGAGCGGTCATGCACGCAGCACGCAAGCCAGGGCCTGGCCTGCCCCCTGCCTGACACACAGACACAGACACACACAGACACATGCATGCACACACACAGCGGCCATGCACGCAGCACACAAGCCAGGGCCTGGCCTGCTCCCCCTGCCTGACAGACACACGCATGCATGAACACACACAGAGTGGCCATGCACGCAACACGCAAGCCAGGGCCTGGCCTGCCCCCTGCCTGACACACACAGACACAGACACACACAGACACATGCATGCACACACACAGCGGCCATGCACACAGCACACAAGCCAGGGCCTGGCCTGCCTCCCTGCCCCGACACAGACACATGCATGAACACACAACGGTCATGCACGCAGCACGCAAGCCAGGGCCTGGCCTGCTCCCCCTGCCTGACAGACGCATGCATGAACACACACAGAGCGGCCATGCACGCAGCACGCAAGCCAGGGCCTGGCCTGCTCCCCCTGCCTGACACACACAGACACAGACACACAGACACATGCATGCACACACAGTGGCCATACATGCAACACACAAGCCAGGGCCTGGCCTGCCCACCCTGCCCCAACAGACACAGACACACAGACACGCACACACACGCACACATGTACACACACAGGGGCCATGCATGCAGCACGCAAGCTAGGGCCTGGCCTGCTCCCAACAGGCACACAGACACACTACAGACACATGCACATATATACACACACACACACACACACACACACATACACACAGCGGCCATGCATGTAACACACAAGCCAGGGCCTGGCCTGCCCCCCCTGCCCCGACAGACACACACACACACACACACACACACACACACACACACACACACACACACACAGCAGCCATGCATGTAGCACGCAAGCTAGGGCCTGGCCTGCTCCCAACAGGCACACAGACACACTACAGACACATGCACATACACACACACGCACACACACGCGCAGTGGCCATGCGTGTAACTTACAGGCCCCCTCCACAGGCGTGCATGCACACACACACACACACTGCCCACCCATGTAATCTGGACCTCTTCACATATTCTACACTCATGCTGCAGCCTTGTGACCTATGCAGAATGGGGAGGCGGCTCAAGGGACACAAGCCCCTGCCACTCACACCCCAGTCACCGGGTCCCCAGGTCCTCCCCGAGGGCAGGACCTCTAATCCCCATTCTTAACTGCCCACAATGCTGCCGGTGACGCTTGTGGCCGCCCTGGCTGTCCCTCCAGAGCACTGGGGAAGGAGCAGGGGGCCCTGTGACAGCCAGCAGACCTGGGGGCATCACGCAGCGGTGACGGTGACACTTGGTGGGAACCGGCTTCCTGAAGGGCAGAGGCCTCCCCTTCTGCCTCCCCGTCCCTACTGCCCATTTCAGGTTGTTCAACACCAAAGTCAAGGCGGTCCAAAGTGCACAGGAAGGGACCCCTCTGCCAGCTTCAGCCACGGGGTTCAGAGACCTACAGGCTGGGCCAGGCAATGCCCACTGCAGCCAGTGGAGGACAGCACCCCAGGTCCAAGGAACGCCAGCCCCCAGCAACACGAAGGCTGCTGCTTTGTCAGGAAACAGCTAGTGTGTTAGTCAAGGAAACGCAGGGCTCGGTAGGAGCCCCAGGGGGCAGTGGAAGCTTCCAGAGCTGAATGGACATGGGGGCATGTCTACAATGAAGGTCATGGGATCTAAGTGCCACTTCAGATGGCGACATCCCATCTCAGGCCCTCCCCAGACCCAGGGCCAGCTTCACTGCCCGGCCCCAGCTAAACAAGTTCTTCTTTAGAGCTAGTGTGCCCTGGGGCACGGCCCCACCCCGGCACCAGGAATGCCCTCCCCAGAGAACCCCACCCAGCCCAGTGTCCGTGTGCATTCGCTGGCCCGCCGGCCCGCCATGCCCGCCCTCAGCGGTGCCTGCCCTCAGTCGGCCTCCCCATAGCTTTCCTCTCAAAGGCTGGGGGGGGGGGGGGGGGCACATGACCATCACGGGCAAGGCAACAGTATGTAATGCACACCAAGTGCCGAAAATAGAAGACCATTTCCTAACTCTCACGCAGAGCAGAAGCATTTCCAAGAACATCTTGGGTAAGCAGTGACGAGGTCCTGCCACTTGTTCCTGTAATGGGCTCATCCTGCCCCTACAGAGGGCCGCCGCAAAGCCACCTGCCTACCTCACGTCCCACTCCGTTTGCTCAAGGGGCCTCTGGCTATGAGGCCATTCACGAGGGCCTTGGAAAGCCAGGGGCCCGTGGGCCCACGCCTGTCATCCTAGCCACTCAGAAGCTGAGCTATGAGGATCATGGTTCAAAGCCAGGCTAGGCAAGGAAGTCCATGAGACTCTTACCTCCATTAACCACTAAGGAAAGTCCTAAGTAGATGGGCACAGGTGGCTCACATCTGTAATTCTAGCTACTCAGGAGGCTGAGATCTGAAGCTCACAGTTCAAAGCCAGCCCAGGCAGGAAAGTCCCTGAGACTCTTATTTCCAATTAACCACCAGAAAACCGGAAGTGGCGCTATAGCTCAAGTAGTACAGTGCTAGCCTTGAGCTGAAGAGCTCAAAAACAGCACCCAGGCCCAGGGTTCAAGCCCCATGACCAAAAAAAAAAAAAAAAAAGGCATAGAGCTGTGGTAGAGAACTAGCCTTGAGCAAAGTAAGTCCAGGACGGCACTCAGACCCTTAGGGTCAAGCCTCAGAACCAATACCAAAAAACAAAACAAAACAAAAAATGAAGAAAGCACATGGTGGTTCACTCCAGTAATCTCAGCTACTCACGAGGCTGAAATTAGAGCCCAACAGTTCCAGGTAACTGGGCAGAAATTAATCAGAGCAAAAAGCAGGGCTGAGCGCATTACTCAAGTGGTAGAGTGCCAGCCTAGCAAGTGGGGTCCCAAGTTCAAACCCCAGTACTGCCAAAAAGTTAAAAGAGAGGAAAGAGGGAGAGGGAGGAGAGAAAAAGACGAAGATAGTGAAGACAATGACAAAGGTGAGGCATATATGTACAGCACCATAACCCTCCCCACACAATCTCAAGGTCAAGGCCAGCCTGGGCTACAAGGCAAGACTCTTCTCAGAAAAGGAGAGGAGGAGAAGGAAAGAGCAGGAATGGGTCTCCGATGAACCCAGACAGGGTGCCAGAACTCGGGAGGATGGAGCCAGCACCAGGACCTCACTGGTGCCCAGGCCCAGCAAGCCAGACCAGCCATAAGCTGGGAGGCTCCCTAATGGCAGCTGCTCAGGGCACCCCCAGGGCTGGGGCCACAGAAGGGAAGACTTTCAGGGCCAGAACTGGGGCTCACATTTCCCGCCCAGGGCCATAAACTGGTTGACAAGCACCACTTCCCCACCCCAGGGCCTGACCTTTGGGCCCAGCTTTTCTGCTATTCCAGGAACCAGCAGGAAGTGCAGAGGGAACAGCAGCCTGGGGAGGAGAGGAAGCCCTGCCGTGGAAGTGCTGTCGGGAGGGGGCTGGGTGGTCAGGCGGCAGCCCGGGGGTCACCGCCACCACCCGTGCCCCCTCGAGAACGCACAGCAAGGCCAGTGGCAAGAGCTGGACTGCCGGCCCGCTCCGGCTCTGAGCCTCCTCTTCAGGAAAAGCGCTTCTGCCTGACTTCTCCAGCCTCCTCAGCTCCTGAAGCAGAAAGCCATCGGGTGCTCCCAGCGCCCCCAGCAGAGACCCCTCCAGAAGTTCCTCACAGGACTGGGGGTCTCCTAGTGATCACAATACCCCAACCCCAACCTGAGCTGACCTGAAAGCCAGGTGAGGGCCAGGGGCTGCGCCCTCTGCCCCCTGAGCCTGAGGCAGCCTGGTGCTCTGCTCACGGCCCCTTCCCTCAGACCTCTGCTGACGTCTCCTCACAGACCCTTCCTGAGCTAGACCCCTACATGAGCCCAATCCCTCCTGCCCTGTCTGTACAGTTCTCTCCCTAGTCTGCCATCTGCGTCCTGTGAGCAGGAAGCCCAGGTGGGCAGGCAGTTGGCTTGGCGAGCTAGTGCCTTGAATAATATACATGGTGTTTATGTGGCTATGCTTGAATGTTCATGTATTTGGATAAAATGAGTCATCAGGGCTCTTCTCACAAATGAAGGCTACACGAATGCCATGCCGTTCTGAACCAGGAGCTATGGATACTTCAGCCCAGGAGCCCTCTCTAAGAACGGCCCCTTGGAAAATCACAAACTCATGTGCCCCGCCTGCTGCGTTGCACGCAATACATCTCAGAAAAGCCGGGCACCAGTAGCTCACATCTGTCATCCTAGCTACTCAGGAGGCTGAGATCTGGGGATCGTGGTTCAAAGCCAGCCTGGGCATAAAGTCCATGAGACTCTTATCTCCACTTAACCACCAGAAAACCTGAAGTGGCGCATTGGCTCAAGTGGTAGAGCACTTGCCTTGAGCTGAAGAGCTCAGGCCCAGGCCCAGGCCCAGAGTTGAAGCCCCACAATTAACCAAAACACACACACACACACACACACACACACACACACACACACACACACACACACACACACACACACACACACACACACACACACACACACACACACACACACACACACACACGTGGCCCAGGTGACCCTGTGGGGCTGCCTGGCTCTCTCGTCAATTCACCTTTGGGCCTGGTGCCAATCAGCCTGCCGGGAAGACAATAATCATGACATTCCCATACCCATTAACAGACCTTGTCACAAGAGCCAGAAATCAAATCCCGGC